TTAATTAACGTGGCAACACAAGCTAGATGAAATATGATTAGTTAAAAACTCTACCATAATAAATAAGTTATTTTTCGAGTGGCGTTCAATGTTATTTAAAATAACATTGAAAGCCACTCAACTAAGTGGAAATAATATGACGTAAAGAATACAGAGAATAATTTTGTTAACATAGTTATGAAAATAAAATAACAAATTTATGTTATTCTCAGAAAAGTAAATTTACTTTTCTGAGAATGTTTAGGCCAGCAGAGAAGGCCTTGCTGGCCCTCAGGGTCCGCCACTGCTCGCAGGGCATGCTGGAGCATATCCCAGCCGTCTTCGGGCAGTAGGCGAGGGACACCCTGAACTGGTTGCCAGCCAATCGTAGATGGTAACAAGCAGAAATTATGTCCATTTGCTACCCGACATCCCTGCGTCGCTGCTTAAATCAGGTTATTCAAATAATCCTGTTGGCTCAAACACGGTAAACGGGTTATTCCCAGCTTTTTGGGAATCAGAAGTTTGAATATTGTCTGCATCCAAAGGTACGCTGTCATTGTTGCAGCCTTGAAACTAGCATTTGGCATTTCCCTGCAAAGCGACCATGTGCATTTTCTGCTAGATATTGCTAACAAGACGGGAACATTGAATCTTTCCTGTACTCATGATCTAGCTCAGGTACACGCTGCACAAGTCATTGATAACGCATCCCAGTTCAAATGTGTTTGTTTTGGGCCTTCACCAAGATGGTTGTGGCCAACGGGTAATTATGTGGTTGCTCCCATTATCTGCATTTAGCTCCAAGTTATAAAGAGCTGAGATTGTCTTTTGTTGGTCTTTCTGTTGGTTATTTCAACACCGTGACTCATGTTTGTTCTTTCAAACCTTCAAAAATTACCTGCTTCCTCTCTGAGAGGATATTTTAAGGCGTCCAGTCTTGTTTCCTGACAGTGATTAGCGCTGCTTGATAAGCTCAACAGGAGGAGGACAGAGATTTGCTGAGTGACACTGTTGTAAGACAGCAGGAAACAGTTGGCGGCTCCACCCGGAAGGAAGGCAGCGCGCTTCTGCTCTCCTTATTCCACAGGACAGTCAAGGCTGAATCAATTCAGATTTCTGATTTACCCACCACAGCTTCTGCTCACTGAGTTGTGAAAAATAATAAATTTCCATTGTACTACCGGTAACTTCTTTGTTTGTCTTCATCTTTGAAATCAAGCGTAACTCGGGCTACAAAGCGGTCGAACATTTGCGGTAAATTTACAGAAAGTTCCGGTGCAAAGTTAAAATGTTGAATTTTGAAAATATTTGTTATGAGATTGATGGGAATTGTGTGTAGAATAATGGAAAGGTATAATATTCAAGCCAAATAAAAACATCGAGCAGCTATAATTCTATGAAGAACTTCATCAAATGTTTGATTGACGAATCATTTCCTTCAATGAAGAACAAAAACCTGAATGTTGAGTTAATTATTCACGACCGTGACCAACCATTCAAAAAAAAAAAAAAGAACCCCCTCTCTCTCAACAACTGTCCCAGTCAAAAATTCAGACGCATTTTCTGCATTTTTGGTCAGGAATTGGTCTCTTCATAGTCAATTGTACCTGCGTATAATCTGGTTGTTTTTTCGTTAAGATTATGAAAAATCACTATTATGATTACACTATTGCTATAAAGATTCAACCTTCAAATGTATACATTCATGATTTATTCCCATCTACTCTATTGCTAAAAATGTCAATGAAAGTTTTCCACTTTGAAAATGCATGCAATTTTGCAACCCCGAAGTGACCTGATCCTCCCCGCTATCATGATAGCCACACCCAAGAATGGACAAAATGGGTGCAGCAAGCCAAGTCCCATGTTGTGGGGAGATGTCCATAATGCCTTCCTGTCCTCCACTGGGACCTCCCAGGTGTCCTCCATCGATGGAGTCAGCTTCTCCGAGGGAGACCTGCTCCTCCAGGTCAGGTCTGACTGATCTTTGAAGCAAGAAAGTGAAGCGTTTCCTCAAATTTTTTTTTTTTTTTTGTTTTGTTTTTGTTTTTGGTTTTGTTTTGTTTTTTTTTCTCCAGGCATTGAATGGCTTCGTGTTAGTGGTGACCACCGAAGGTTATGTCTTCTATGCATCACCCAGTATACAGGACTTCCTGGGCTTCCAGCAGGTAAAAGCATCAACAACAGACAGAAGACCCTTCACACTTAGCCTCATTTCATTCAGTTTTATTTCATTTGGGATTTTCTAAAATTACTTTATATTTGACCTTTAAATATAACACTGCCCCCCTGTGGCCATGACATGCACACCGGAGGGTGCACACCATGGGCGTCATTAGGCCTATTTTAGGGAGGCTTCAGCCTCCCTAAAAATGTCTTTAGCCCCCCTAAATAATTTCCTTGCATTATTTTAAAAAAAGTATTATTTATTTTTCCTGTACTTTTGCTAATATATTGCATCAAATTCAATGTAATGTGGCCATTTTAAATTATATTTCGATAACCTGCCATTATTGTAATGTTAAATCTCCCAGGTTTCCTGAACGCAACAGGTGTTGCGTTAGCATTTGACGTGTCTGTCACCATCGCCACATCAAATGCTAACGCAACAACTGACAGTTCATTGCCGAAAGTCAGGTTGAGTCGACAGCATGGCTGCTTGACGAGCCTATATTGTGTATGTATGTGACGTCACTGAAGGCCTAAGGTTGAAATGCACGGCCCGCCACTGCTAAGCATATATTAATACATTTTGGTAGAGAGGAATATAGGACTACTGTCATATAGGTTATGTTATCGGGCATCCTTCTAATTCCCTTGAACAACCAAGATTGAACTTTTGAACTCTTTATAATTTCTATTATCTAGTCCAGTTAAAGTCCAGGGGAGGAAGCCCCATCATAGTAAAAAGGATACTAATGTGATGTGTGTAGTTCTTCATAGCCTCTTCATTTTGCTCTCAAAGTGCACGGAATTGATGGATTTTTAACAGAATGTAGAAAAAATTTCTCCCGCGGGGGCATGCCCCCGGACCCCCCTAAAGGGGCTGTGTTCCCCTTGGGGCTAAGCCCCCCTTGTTCTTGAAACCTAGTGACGCCCCTGGTGCACACTAATAATGGGGAAAAAGACGATTTGTGATCAGAGTATGTTCAATCAAAAGCATGGTCAGGAAACAAATTAAACTCGTAAGTCAAGGCCCCACCGTATTTTTCTTCAATGGTTGGTATTAAAAAAGCAAACTAATGACGACTGCTAGAAGACGTTGCTGTATGAGTGGAGATCAAGAAGCTTAACCCATCGCTCTCTGTTCTAGTCAGATGTCATACATCAGAGTGTGTTTGAGTTGATCCACACCGACGATCGAGCTCTTTTCAGACGCCAACTTCACTTCGCTTTTGATCCGCATTCCAGCCAGCAGGACCGCATTGCAGTGGGCAGCAGTAAGTCATCCTTGCATCATCCAAATCCGGTTTGACCTGAGCTCATCCTAATGTTGACATATTCACATGTAGACGAGCAGAACAGCAGTGAAGTCAGCACCAACATACAAGACTACAACCCACAAGTCATCCCTCCAGAAAAGTCATCCTTCCTGGAGAGAAATTTCTGCTGCCGGTTCCGATGCTTGCTTGACAACTCATCTGGCTTTGTGGTAGAAAAAAAAAATCCAAAGTATTGGCTAGAGGTCCAAAGTTGGCATTTGTGTCTGACGTGATGGATCTGGCATGTTTGTCTCCAGGCGCTGAACTTCTGTGGACGCCTGAAATTTCTCCACGGTCAGAACCGGGTGTCGGAGCTTCAGGAGCAGGTTCTCCCACAGCTGGCTCTGTTTGCTATTGCCATGCCCGTGCAGCCGCCATCCATATTGGAGATCCGTACCAAGACGCTAATGTTCCAGAGCAAGCACAAGCTGGACTTCACTCCGATTGGCATTGACACCAGGTAGAGGGTCGGATTTGGGATTTGCAATCCGATGAACTCAAGTGATGGGACGGGCAGACAGTGATGGGAGTTTGCGCATTCTTTTCAGGGGAAAGGTGGTTCTGGGTTACAGCGAAGCCGAACTCTGCATGAAGCGTTCAGGTTACAGCTTCATCCATGCTGCCGACATGATGTACTGTGCAGACAACCACGTCAGGAGTGAGTCAGGCTCTTCTTATGCATGATCAGGGCTGTGCAAAATTCAGAGTTTCACAATTCAAATCAACTCAATGGATGAATTTGAATTTAAGTTGACTCCACTCTACATGATGTTGAATTGCAATTGAATTTGAATTACCGGAAGCGAGACAGAATTCATTGCAATTCAGCAAAACCGCATTCTCATCACGTATCAGCTCCAAACAAAATGTCCCAAATGTTCGACTTAGACAAAGCCAGGTATTCTGGCAAATGAAGTGCTGATCCACCATCATATAAAACAATTGTCATAGCTTTTACAATTTCAGCGATCTGTCCTGAGTAGACTTTTAATGTTAATTAAAAAACAACAACAACAACAACAACAGTTACTGCACTTTACTATTTACTACAATTAAGTATTGCGTACATAAAGTCCGTATCATAGTATTTGGATGAAATTCATGTTGTGTAAAGGTTGTAAAGCTTCATTGTTAAATACACTTTAATTCTGCATGATGAATTTCTTTGAATTTTAGTTGTACTTTCTGCAATTTGAATTTCAATTGCAATTCCGCTTCCTGTTTGCCACCGCAATTCAAATTCAATTGAAATTCATTCTCAAAGCAGTTCTGAATTTTTATACTGCCCTGGTTTAAATATACTTTTAGGGTATTACTTGGACCTAATTCTCATGTTTGTTCAGTGATAAAAACAGGAGAAAGTGGTTTTACCGTCTTCAGACTGCTGACTAAAAAGGGGATGTGGCTCTGGGTCCAGGCCAACGCCAGGCTGGTCTTCAAGGAAGGGAAACCAGATTTTGTTGTGGCCCGGCAGAGAGCTTTGACGTAAGTTGCTGGAGATGTTGTAGATCTCCAACAATGCATTCTCTATGTGGGAGGCTGGAGCCTTTGTCTAGCTAAGTTCTCTTTGGGCAAGCCATGAGAACCATACACTTTTGGACTGTGGCGCAAAGCCAGAGTGATTTGGAAATCTCTTGTTGCCTTGCCTGGCTGTCATGATCAGCTAATGATTTGTAGCCTGAAAGCGCTTGTTTACAGTTTCCTTCAAAGATGTGTCCTTAACAACTTGTCATTTCGATACAGTCTTTCCAGATTATGAAATAACAATTGCCACAGAGCATGATTTGAAGTTTTGGCTCCTGTTAGACCTGTTTTTGTTGTCACTGCTTGCATGCCTTCATGATAAGTAGGACCTGTTCTAAATGAGTTCTCGAGATTGTCACGGTGTTGATCTCTTTTATTGGCTGCAGAAATGAAGAAGGAGAGGAACACTTCCGTCATCATCGGCTGCAGCAGTCGTTCGGCTTCACCACTGGCGAGTCGCTTTTGTATGATCTGGCGCCAACCGTCGACATGCCTGACACTTGCTCCCCCGCAAAGCAGCGGAAGCTCGATAACTACTCAGTCAGACCAAACTCGCTCCTGGGCTGCATACTGAACCAGGACCAGTCAGTCTACTGCCAGCACAATAGTGCCAACACGCTAAACACCCTTAATGACACTGCCTTTAAGGACACCCACGCCACAGTCAGTGTTCCCGGAGATACCTGGCAGCACCTTTCACCCAAAGCGGCTGTTGACAGCATGATCAGGTCCGAGGACACAATCAAGGATGTGATGGAGACTCTGCAGCAGATCCTGGGGGAGGGTGAGCTGGCAGATGTGGTGGATGCGACACCCGACGAGCTTAAGAGCTGGGAAAGCACTCTTCTGAAGGTGAGAACCAACAGCTGCGACCTGGGCGACGACCTGAACGACTTGATCATTGAGGACATCCTGTTATATGTGGAGGAGCAGCTCCAAAACGAGGCTGCGCTGAAGGTGCCCGAACAGCTGGAAACCTGCGTCCAAACTTTGAACGTCCAGAACCGGGGCCCTGTTCACCACGGCATGGTGCAGAGCTTCAGCTGGCCTCAAAAACCTGAGAGCCATTTGTTACCCAGTCGAGGGCAGATGTCTGAACAACCCTCCGCGGTTGTGCGGACGATGGAACTGACCCACATTGGTCTTCCTCAGCTGAGTTCTTCCGGTTTAAACGTTCCGGTGGCAGAGCCCATTTCCTCTGAGCAAGCACTTTTCCTTCCTGCGCGCCTTCATGGTGACCAGAACCACACTGGTAGACCTCCAAAGATCTTGGACGCCCATTTAGCGGACTCATGTCGCGAGACAGAAAAACTGAGGAGCATACAGATGAAATTCATGGACAATAACCAAGAAATTGTGTTGTGCAGGCAACCTAGTCATATTCATCCCAACCAAATGGTTCATCCAAACCGGAACTGCCATGAGCGGAGGGCACCAAACCTGGCTGTGGCCCACCATGCACAAACACAGCCAGAGTTTAGTTTACAGAGTGGCCAAAAGAACTCAAACCATAGAGACACTCAAAATAATGTTTCCAGGGGCCCAGTGATCACAGCAGAGGCAAGCTGCATGCACAGCCACTTTGTGCCTCCGACTCAAGACGGAGAGAATCAGAGACAGTCTTGGCAGCTAGAGCCGCCACCGCAAACGCAGCTAATTTCAAGCGGACCAATGAGCGTGAACTGCTGGTCAGAATTTCAGCCAAATCCAGGACTTGCAGTGAACCATGACCCTGCACCGTACAGTCCGGTGTTCAGGACTTCTTTTCCTGCTGAGCACGGCATTGGAGGGGCGCCTGTCATGGCTTCAAGCAGCTGTATGTTCAAAACCACACCCCGCTCTGTGCCTGCGAACGTTGGGCACGTCAGTCAGACTGCGCCCTGTCAAAGATTGAAAGACAGCATCAGTCACATTTCCAGTCCCTCCAGCTTTTATCAGGCTGCGTCCAAGTCCATGTTCAATTCGGATACGGCGCCGCTTTCCTGCCAAATCACCCCAGATAGTCGGAACCTGCCGATGCAACAACAGCCATACCTGAACCTCAGTGACCAGGTAAAAGGACACCTCATGTCAATGAAAAGCATCTTAACTGTTGACTTCGGAAGTGAGCTTTTAATTATTCTTGTTCCACAGCTCATCAGCCACTCAGTTGTCGGAAATGGTGTCCTGGCCTTGCCTCATTGCGCAACGGGAATTCCCATTCCTAAGAGAACAAACGGGAACATGAACTGAAAAGGCAACTGTCTGCGAAACCAGGAAAACCACAAACGTGCTTTCAAGGACAAAAAGCTCAGGGTAATCAAGCAAGAGAAGAAAGATCACCTGGAGTTTGATTTGCGTTTTGAAAAATACAATCACCACGGGATCATGAAATCTGAGCATTGAGCTACTACCAAAAAAATGAAAATTTGAGGGATTATGATTTAGTCCAATACAGATTACCAATTGTCACAACCTTTTTATGACATTCCATGACGGGCAATCTAAAAGATGATTTAAAAAATATATATATTATAATTTCAATGTTAGAAATCTACTGTTGGTTAGAAAATGCTTTGAACCATAAATATACTCCAAACCAATTGACCAAACCTGAGCTTCTGTTTTTTGCTGTTCATTTTTGATGGCAGCGTCTGACTTGGCGTGTTTTGTTGATGCTTCATGGAAGCATTCCAACTGTTCAATAGTTGAGGTCTGATGGATGAACTTGATGTCAGTCCACTGCCAACTCGCCCAGACAAACACGCACAACTGACTCCCCTTGAGATCTCCAAAGGATAAAATGATTTTATGTGCTCTTTTGTTTCATTGAAACATACCATGACTTCATTCATTTCAAGCCCTCAAAAGGGTCATGCGCACAAGCTTCATCCAGCCAACATGAGATCAACTTTAAGCAGTAAAATGAACCTTTGGAAGCAACCTGTCATTCTTCAGTTATTTGTATTCGTGTCATCTGTTTTTTTCTATTTTGGTGGGGAGCAGCAAAGACAACGCCTTAAAATAACAAAGCTGATTAGGATTTGACTGGAGTGAAACCCAAGTATATCTTGCCTTTACTTTGCCCTCTTTACTTCCTGGATATTTTATTCACTGTAATCATGGAGTTCAACAGAAAATAACAAGTGTCAGGAGCTGTTTGTCAGCCTTTGGAATAATTACAAAAAAGTGAAGCTGCCACCCATAATTTTCCAGCAAAAATCCATCCTCTTCATCTTTCCTGTCTGTTTTGTGGTTAATTCATGTCTCCCCACAGAAGTAAAAGACAATGGCAGCTATTTTCTACTTTAAATTAGGTGGAAATGGTCACAATTATTGTCTGTGAGTGGCAAAGACATTTTAAACCGTGATGAAAAACAGAGCTTGGAGTTTTGACTCGTTTAAAAAAGTAGCTGACTACTTTCTGAAAAATCACTTTCCCCCAATTATAATTGTGGTATCGGCACAAACAGTCCGTAAGTGTCTAACTCGCATATTTCATCGTGGATACCTGCCTTTTGTGGGCTGTCCCTAAGGTATTCTGTCTGGTGTGTATAGGAACAATATTCAGTGTTGTGTTCCATTCTGGTCCTCTATTTAATGCTAATGTGCATTTTACAAATGCCAATCGACTAAAGAAGCCATCGCTAGCAACATAAAAACTTTGGGTTTATCTCACACCACCTTCTGGAAGTTTGTTGCACCAACCAAGGGAAAAAAAAACACAAGTTGGTGTGAACCTGGATAGAGCACCCATGTACAGTATATTAACCGAAACGCGTATGTGTGTGTGTGTGTGTGTGTGTGTGTGTGTGTGTGTGTGTGTGTGTGTGCATATACGTTTGTACCATATGTACTGCATTTACTTTGTTTATATTTGTGTGAATGTATATGTATGTCCTATATGTATAGGGATGTTTGTGTGTGTGTGTGTTCCTTTTATCAATACATATTGTCACATTGTGTACATCACCCTATTCATGTAAGTATATATCTCCTTTTTCTGTTGTTATGTTATTTGTGCTTTGAGTATGAATCTTTGAACGGTAGCCACAATAAATATTGGGCTTAAGGCACGGTGGTCCTTAAAAAAAAATCTGCTTCGTGTTTGTTCATTTTTGTAATGTTCTTATGGAAGGAGAGAACTTTATCAACTAAAGTAAACCAACTAATTGTGGGATTGCCAGGGAAACAAACGGTGTGCTTGTTTTTGTGATGGCGTAGCTCAACAGCGTCCACTGGATGTCAGTATAATGATGCGCAATGTTTATTTTTGCTTGGAGGATATGGCTTAAACTGCATGCAGTTGAGTGATCTGAGCTGAGCTGTTTCGTTGAGTCTGAGATTCCCTCTCAGCCTGAAGCCGCTGTTCGGAAACAGACGGCGAAGCACTGATTCTATTTTCCCTCCTGGAGGTAGCTCATCTTCAGTAAGCCACTGGGATGAAGACGTTTGTTCTCGGTAGTTTTATTCTTTGTAATTAATGTCAGACTTGATGGCTGGCCACTAGCTCATTTGTAACATGGAAATGACTCCTGAGAGTGGTGAGGGAGTGACGCGCTCAGGTAGTGAGGGGACCGAGGGTGAGTTGAGGGGTGACGAGTTGATGAGGTGGTGATGGGATGGTGGGACGAGGATGAGGGGATGAAGGGTGGTGGGAAGATGGGACGAGGGGTGACAGGATGATGAGGTGAGGGTTGATGAGTGACAGAATGAGGTGGTGAGGAGATGATGGGGTGATGGAATGAGGTGGTGAAGGCATTATGTTGGGTGAGGGACAGTAAAAGTGACGGGAATTGATGAGGTAGTGAGGGGGGCATGAAAAGGTGAAGGAATAATGTTGGGATACAATAATGGTGGTGACGAGATGAGGAGGAGACAGCATGAGGTGCTGAGGAGATCGCCCCTCACACACACCGTCCCCTCCCTTCCTCCCAGCTCTGTCACACACGTCAACTTCAGTCTACTTGAACGGGTCGACCACTGCGACCCGGTCGGCTGCCTCAGGATTTTGGATAAGGAGGCTGACAGTGAAGAGGGGAGGAGGAGAAGAGGACCGGGGACGACGTCGCAGCTATTTTGACACCTCATAATAGCTGAGTCCATCTGGGACGAGAGCCAGGAACGCTTCCGTTAATGAGTCAAAGGACGTCGTTTCAGATCGTTGCAGATGTCGCTCGTTTGTTTCCGAGCCCAAAATATTTGCTTCGGAAAACTAGTTTAACATTGTTCACGTGCTTGTCGTCCATTCGATTGGATGGTGGTGGGACACGTTTACGAGTCCGGCTGGCTGGAATTCTCCTCTGTGTGTGGATGTGCCGCTGCACTGGGACTAAACTGGAGCCAACATGTACGCGGGACGCAAAAGAAGAAAACCGCTTCAGAAAGGGTAATGTGTGTCATGAATTAAAGACCCGCCTGTCGTCCGACCAGGCAATTCCGGTCCAGTTAGCAGCTGTCCTGCTTGTTTTCGACGTGTCCCTCTTCCAACACACCTGATTCAAACGGTCACTCCCAGGCTTTTACAGAGCTTGCTTTTGAATTAATCAATTGAATCAGGCGTGTTGGAAGAGGGACATTTCTAAAGCAAGCAGGACTGAGGTTTTCTCGGACCCGAGTTGCCAACCACCAGACTCGCTCAACTTGATGTTAAAAAAAAATGCCGGACAGTGTTTCACAATTTTTATTGCCCAAGACACATTTATTTTACATTTGAAATATATTGCGGTACACCACCCCCCCCAAAAAAAAAACGTCACCAAAAAACTGTATACATGTGTCGATTATGGTTTTTCTGGCCTCTATGTAATTATTATGCCTGTCGCCATACACCACAGGCACACATGCTGTGGGTATGGTGAAATTGCACAATTTCGCCACACATGATCAGCACAAATAAAGAACTTAGAAAATTGTACACTGAACCCCCTGGGGACATGTTCACTTAAAGTAAATGTTAGGGTTACAAAATACAATGGAAATCAGAAGCTCATTGAAACTTTTCATGTTGATTTGATTATTATTTGCATTTACTGTATTGCAGACTGTTATTTTCCTACTTTTTTACTGAGCCAAGGTACATATTTTACATTACAAAAATGAACAGTTCAAATTTGGAATGGGAATCCCAAAGAACTTCTTTTATTGAATGCCTCATTAATTTCAATGAGGTGTTTTGGGTAAAATGTGTTGATTCCTGGAAACTAATACCTACTGTCTTCAATTTTTCAAATATTTTCAATGGTTTGAATCAGAGGAGAAATCTGGAACAAGTTCAATGTCAAAGAAGTGGGGTTACTACTAAAGACTTTTGGTGGAGAATAACTTGTATGCATGAACACTTTGACACACAATTTCATTTGTTCCCACAAATTGAATTGCAATCATTGTGTCTCAGTTGCGATTTAAAGTTCTTGGTATCCTCTCACTCACAACCAGAGCCAAACTTACCACACCAGAAGGGCACAAGTCCAACCCATCCAAGCGGCATCGAGACCGTCTAAACTTGGAGCTGGACAGGCTGGCCAGCTTGCTGCCCTTTCCTGAGGATGTCATCTCAAGCCTGGACAAGCTGTCCATTTTAAGGCTTAGTGCCAGCTACATTCGGGCCAAGAGATTCTTTTCAGGTATGAAACTCCAAACAGTTCATTTATTTATGCAAAAAGAAGTTTTAACAGTGTTTTTTTCAGGATTATTAGACCCCCTCTCACTCCCCCCAATGCATTTCAATGGGCATAAATTATACGTGGATTTTCGCTATTTGCCATTTCACGTGTGTCCACCTTACATACAAATGATTTTGTCTCGCGTTGGACTGGAAACATCCATCCATTATCTGAGACATTTGTCTTCAAGAGGGATGCAGGCGTGCTGGAGCCTATACCAGCCGTCTTCGGGCAGTAGTCAGGGTGGACCCTGAACCAGTTGCCAGCCAATTGCTTGGCACACATAGACAAACAACCAGTCGCACTCACGGTCACACCTTGGGACAATTTGGAGTGTTCAATCAACCTACCATACACATTTTTTGGAGGGGGGGGGGGGCAGGAGTGCCCAAAGAAATAATCTGACACTGCAGAAACCAGCAGGAGGTCAGTCCCCATTTCTGTCTTTCTCCAGAGCAAGTGCATCACCCCTGCATAACCCCAAGTTCATCACAGTGTGTGAAATGCACTCTTAAATGGATTGTAGGTCAGCCTCCTAGCCTGTGGCCATGAGATGACCTCCCTCCCATAAATCGCAGACACACAGTAATGTAGGTCTGAGGAGATGGGAGGAGGAGATGAAAGCTTTGGGGAGTAAAAACACAGCAAGATAATCCACTCACACCACTTTACAGACTTTGTGGACGGGGGCGGGGGCACGAGAACCCACTTTTCAACTCTTGACTCGTGCAGCTCACACCCTTGGATTGTGGTGGCTGAACTGGTCTGTGTAGACTAGGGATTTCCGCTATCCATTTTTTAACAATATATAATAAAATAACACTTGACATGAGCTGCAATGCCATTTTGTTGTTGTTGTTTCTAAAGGGAGGGGGCACCATGAAAATGTTCAAGAATGTTAAAGTAGTCCTTGCATCCTTCTATTTTTCTGTACATGACCCTTAGAGGAAAATCAATGGACACCCCTGGTATCAGGGGCAGGGTGGCCATCAGGAATTTTGGGAAAATATGTTAACTTTCTTGAACGGCCGCTATATTTCCGGTCCGCTCCTGGACATCATGTCTGCACTCACCAATTTAGGCATTTAAGCCTTGGGCCTCTGTACTGTCTGCAGCTCTGAGTGACTTCCGTCTCTCTGAGCATCTTACTCGACCAGAGAAAAGCACTTCGCATCCCCATGTTCTGAAGCACATTGCTTGCGTCTTTGAGGGCAGAGGTCAATATAGGAGACCCTATTAGAGGTTTAGACAGGTTGACAGCACAGAAAAGGGTGGCTTGTATTGAAAGATTCAGTCTTTGTTGTGTCTGCTCCCGAGAGTTGGCTCCTGCAAGTGTTGCCGTCTTCCTCCTGCCGGTTTTTCCCTGTTGCCGCATGCTGTTCTCTCAGGTTTCCCTGGATTCAGTCTTCGTGATATTCCTTCTGCAATCTTACAGTCTGATATCCAAGTGACAAAATAGCCCTCAGCCTTCCTCTTCTCTTCTCTTCTCTCAAGTGACATCGAAAAAACATCTCTCCAATGGTGTGAGCAAAATTACTGACGACCATGACAGTGAGGTGCCAGAACAGACAGCCCAGTGTATGCCAGAAGGGGAACTGCTGCTCCAGGTAAATATATTGAAAAATACTTCGAAACCGTAATTTACAAGTGCCCCAATTTACAAGTTAATTGAGTCACGAGCAGTCGTTTGGTCATATTTTTTTTTTTTGTTTTGCTTTGCATTGTTCAAGTGAAGTGGAGGGGGCAGATTCACAAGATGCACTTTCAGACATTCACTGAATAGGACAAGAAGACCAAAACGCAAATCTAAAATGAAAACACTCTCAAGGTGCATGGAGCACACTTTAACTCAGTTTCTAAATTCAGTTGCTAAATCAGTTGCTAATCTTCTAAACCTTTCTACTGATATGCCCAAAACTAACGTTTAGCCTTTCAAGATTCAGAAATCAGTTGAAGGCAGAGATTGCTGCCATTGTGCACTCACCCAGATCCAAGTATTGATTTGAAAGTAGTTCACACAAGCAGAAATGCTTCCACAATCAGGTGCAGGGTCACATGAACATTAAATGTTGACAGTCATTTGATTTTTTTTTTACACTTGTCAAATGCAGGCCAGAGCAAATCAATTTTTACAGCATTTGCTGTGAGCTGGAGGCTACGTCAACAAATTTTGTGTTGATTTGAATCCTCAATCAAACTAATTGTTGAGACTTGTCATTTGTTTTTCTTACGCTACACAAAATCAGAAGATGCTTTTTTTCACTTGACAATGACACTTTATGGAAAATAACATCTCATGTAAGCACTGTCAAACATCACATATTCACCGGGGGAGCTAAAATGTCCCGTTTTCTCATCGGCGCTAGTTTTGTTGTCCCTGCAGGCTCTGAGTGGATTTGTCCTGGTCATCACAGCAGAGGGAATCATCTTTTACTGCTCTCATACCATCCATGATTACCTCGGCTTCCATCAGGTACAAGATCAGCCATTAGACGCAAGGGACGACGCTTGGCAAAATCCAGCATGCTTATGTTTTTAAAAAATGAATATGAACTGTCTGTCAAGTTTTTACAACTTCACAGCAGAGCCTACTTCAGGTCGGAAACATACATATTGAAGGAGCCAATTTAGTTTAATCTCATTTTGACTCGCGGGATTATGAAATTATCCATATAATGTGTCACTCTTGAACTATGCGCACACACACGCACACACACACACACACACACACACACACACACACACACACACACACACACACACACACACACACGTCATTTTTCTATTTCCTTTTAAATTTCAGACTAAAAGTCCTCTTTTGTGGTGTTTTTCCGATCAGACGGACGTGATGCACCACAGTGTGTTGGAGATGATTCACACTGAAGACCAGCAAGAGTTCAAGAGGAACCTACATTGGGCGCTCAACCCTCCCGATAGCTTTGGATCCCCCTCGGACACTGCAGCAGGTTTAGCACCCACTGTTTGACTCAGCAAGATCTCTTTGACTTCATTCCAATTTACTTTATGTTTTATATCGCTAATCACAACAGGAGTTGTCTCAAGACATTACACATATGGGGGCAAATTAGGAGCACATACCTCACACATTAAGAGATCAAGGGAAGCCCACATGAGCACTAGACCACAGAGCCAAGGAAAACATTTTTTTCTAGAGAAAGCTCCTGTTGCCTTTAAATAACTCCACTGACCCACAAAAAATCCAAAACATGCTAATGTTATCACAAGTCGTTTTGTTGCTTCTGATGAATCTAATTGGAGGACAAGAAAGGTGGCATTCGCTCAAAAGTGTAAATATGCCCCACCCAGCCTTCCCGGATACATGTCACTTCCAGTTACCTTTATGTCAGCAGTTAATGCACGCACCTAGGTCAAGGACAATCTTTTCAGCATCTTCTATCTTGTGGTGACACATTTCCACAAGTAGATGGCGAGTCAGCTCCCTCATACCCGGTGAGGTACAACCCTGATGAGCTTCCTCCGGAAAATTCCTCCTTCTTTGAGAGAAGCTTTGTTTGCCGCTTCCGCTGCCTACTGGACAATTCTTCTGGCTACTTGGTGAGATTTCATGACTGAATATTACTTTAAGTGTCTTTTAATGAACGTATTGCAAAGGCTTTCTGTGTTTTCAGGCCAGTTAGGCAAGGCAAGGCACATTTGATACACCAGGCAACCCAATGTGCTACAAGGCACACCACTTAATAGCATTTACAAACACAACAGCTCACAAACGTTCAAAAGCAAAGCAGAGAAAACAAAAGTATCTGACCAAAATTCCTAAAAGATCAGTCGGCAACGTTTAAACTCATTAACAGAAGACTTTAATAACTTTTAAAACACTTAAAGGTAAACAAAAATAATACTACGTTACCAAAGTTACCAATAGACCGTACTGTGAAATTCTGTTGGCATTTTACTTGCATGCAGCATAACAGCTAAATGCAGCTTCACGCTGTTTGCTTTGAACTCTGGGCTCCACTTATTGACCCAAGTCTGCACATCTGAGCCCAACTGAGTTTATCTTCAATAAGCATTACTTATTAGTAATCAGGACCAAAACCATTCAGCGATTTATAAACCAGTAGCAGAATTTTGAATGTTTTCCAGATGATTGAGAGCCAGTGTAAAGCCTTTAGGACTTGAGGAATATGTTCTGCTCCATTTGTTCTGGTCAGAGCTGCAACATTTTGAAGGAGCTGCAGCCGTTTTATGCCCTTTTGAGGGAGTCCAGTCAGACTGTTACAATAATCAAGTCTACTGAAGAATAAAACATGGTGGATTACCCCTGTAATCTGCTTTAACCCCCCCCCCCCCCCCCCGCCATTGCGGAGAAGATATAAGAGCGCATGGAGAACTTGCTTTGTCATAGTCACTAGCTCCAGAGATGCTGATGACTATCATAAATTGGAAAATGAGCAACCATTGGATACAATGCGGAAATGGGTGAAATAAATTAGCCTCTGTCATTGTGTTATATGGAAATAGGGTGCACTCCAAATGGATCAAGAAGAAAGAATAGAGTACAAAATGATTAAAAAAAAAAAAAAACTACTAAACAAAAATAAATTATGCAGCGCTAATGCAAAAAAGAACAGCACCCACCTCCCCACCCCGATATCTCCAGAGTTCTCATTTTGTGACAAAATCACAAGCAAGTAACCCAAAACTTGGAGCAGGAGTGCAATTTCATGCTCAAGGTTCACCAAACTTGTGTCTCTCCTCCCTCCCAAAGTGTTTGCGTGAGCAGTAAACCCGCTTTCTCCTTGTATCTACTGGTCACTATGGCTTTGTTTTCATAATCCCTCCTGCTATTCAGTGCCAGATTCCTGACATCACGACAGCCCCTGAACCCACCAAGGTCAATTAAGCAGCGCTAACAGTCGAGGGGGGTTGGGGGGGGGGGGTCGTGGTGGTTGTCGGCACACCCGACGCTCTGTGTGTCTGTGTGTGTACTGTACAAGCAGCGCTAACAGTCGAGGGGGGTTGGGGGGGGGGCGTGGTGGTTGTCGGCACACCCGATGCTCTGTGTGTCTGTGTGTGTACTGTACATGTGTGTTGAGTGGAGAATGAGGTGTTCCGGGGTATCAAAAGAAGGAGAAAGTGTTGAATCTTGCAACTGTTGAAAAAGCTCCCAATGGACAGTATTCCTGAAAATATACGGTATCTATCCATGTTTTCAGTTTAGTTTCATTTTTGTGTGAATATTTCATTGGGTTGTGGCAGATATGGCACAGCCTGAGTGGGTGCATACTCCAGATCAGTTTGCGTCAACAATTAATACTTGGTGTAGTCAATATTACCTTTTCTAACTGACTCTGCTGACCAATATATGCAAGTTCAAAAGTGGTTCTCATTGTTGAGAATGAGCATTGTCTTTTATAAGAATCATTTCCCTGCAGAAGGGCGGGCATATGATGGCCATCTACCAGCCATCCAGGACTCCATCCACAATCGCATACTTGGTGAATAAATGAGTCTGCATGTATTTTGGAGCCCACTGCTAATCTATATCCTGCTGAGATTGGTTAGGTGTGGTCAAAATACAGAATTATGCGTGACTGCAAGCCTTTGAAGCAGTCTGCAATATTCCAAAAAAAATCTATATTATATATACATATAATAGTCTAATGATTTTCTTGCAAGATGGTGAACTGCGGTGTGCTTTTCATCTGAAGAAAGGTCCTTTGTTTTTCCCCATATGCATGATAATATGAACTCTAAATTATAACAGAGCATAATCTAAACAGTCTGAATGGAAAAAATGACTAGTTACTGGAACTTGGTACTTTATCTACATTAGCTGGCATAGCTGGCTACAGTTTTACGGTCTTGGTGGCCAGTAGCCGTGAAGCTACAATTGAGTGAAGAGAGAGTCGATACAACAGCTGCTTTCGCACTCGCATTGCTCATAGATTCCCCACGTGTCTCGTGGCATTCTCTCTTCATACGGTGTCCAGTGAGCAATGCATCAAAAGGACTTTCATTAGGAGGCAGTGGTTTTACGGAGAGTAATGAGAAGATATTCCATTTACAGTTTCCGATAGTATTAAGTAAGAATACTGATGCCAGAAAGGGGAAGAAGAGGCACTGAAGATCCTGAGTTGTCTCCACTTCTTTCAGGCATTGAGCATCCAGGGTCGACTGAAATTCCTCCACGGGCAGAGTGGACTGCGGAGTCCCAATGAGCAAGGTGGCCCTCTTCAGCTCGCCTTGTTTGCCATCGCCACGCCCCTGCAGTCACCGGCTATCCTGGAAATCAGAACAAAGAACATGATTTTCAGAACCAAGCACAAATTGGACTTCACTCCCATGGCCTGTGATGCAAAGTATGTGCGTCAGTGCTGATGTTTTCGTGTTTCAAATGAGCCATTTTGCGCATATGTAGAAAGTGCCGCCTTTGTGTTTTTTAGGGGTAAAATTGTGCTGGGTTACACGGAGGCAGAGCTGCGTGTCCGAGGTTCGGGATACCAGTTCATCCATGCTGCCGACATGCTGCACTGTGCTGAAAATCACGTCCGAAGTAAGTGAGTGGTTAACTGCCAAATCACTTGCCGAATCTGCATTTCAACCTCCAACAACAGCTACGTTTCACCCTGGACCTCATTTTTATACGGGGGTCGCTGGTTGTACAGTAAAACAAAAAACAAACTCTGAAGAAAATCGGTTCTGAATTTTTCACAGTTCAGAGCATAATATTCACCACAGCAGAACACACACTCTAAGAAAATAACCGAGGAACAAAAGAACTGGACCTTGAAAAAAAATGAAACCAGCATTTGGGAGTCACCGTAAGAATGTGTGACTATGGTGGAACCTGGAAATTCAAAGACAAACACTCCTGTAAAACACACAAAATATACAACTACACACACACACTTAGCAAGCCAAGTGATGGTGAAAGACATCCAACCAACTACGGAGAACCAAACATCCACCTTTCTGTATATATCCTCAGCTCATCTGATTCTCACCACTATTTCATTTAATTTTTTTTTCAGTGCATGGAATATTGCAGAAAATAGAAAATAATACCGTAGGGACCATCTGTCTTCATCTCATCTGATAAGTGGTGCAACAACACATTTACTGGAATTCTACAGTAACAATGTTAACATTTTGACTTATGATATATTGAAATGCGATCTATCAAACATTTGAGCTGACATCCATGGTAAAGTCCTTAAAACCAGATGGTTTGATTTCCAAAAGTGCTCTACTTTTTGGTCAAGTTGGTTTTTAGTAGGGCAACATACTTATTTGGTTAACTTTGGGGGCAGAAAACGAGAAAAGATGGCCATAATGCACATGTAGAAACATTTAGTAAGACTTGATACTGGAAGAAATTCATAGACAAGTCCCAGTTATGGACCTGTAGCCTCATCAGGAAAAAAATATTGAATATTCTTATCCCTGGTTCTTATATTGTTTGTAGGTGACGTATCCAAATGCAATTCCATTTCACCAAATTTGTCTTTGGTGTATTTCATCCAACAAAGAAGAAGTACAAAAATGACAGTCAAGTCAAAACAGCAGTGCTGTGTTGGATGTACATCTCCCACGGGAGCAGGAAGTCAGTGAGTTGGACCGTATCTCAGCTGAATTCGGGTGAGAGGCGAGATACACCCTCGATTGCTCCCCAGACAGTCGCAGGCTATGTTTTGACAAACATGCATTCACGTTCACATTCACGCCCAGGGGCAATTTAGAGTCTTCAAATGACCTAAAACCATGGTTTTGCAACATAGGTAGGAAAAACGAAGAAAACATGCACACTTCACACAGGCAGCCGAGATTGGAGCCCGAACCTCTTGAATGTGAGCTAGTTGCAGAGCCGTACCATTGTCAACGTTTTCTCTGATGTGATTCTAGTGATCAAGACTGGTGAGAGCGGCCTCACCGTCTTCCGGTTGCTCACCAAGGATAACAGATGGAAATGGGTCCAATCCAACGCCCGCCTCGTCTACAGAGATGGCAAACCGGACTACATCATTGCCACACAGAGGCCCCTGATGTGAGTGGAGGATGTCAGCTTGTTTTTATAGTGGGACAGGAGATTGTTTGCTAATTGTTTTTCTTTCAAATAGAGACGAGGAAGGAGGGGAACACCTGAAGAAACGCTCCATGCACCTCCCTTTCACCTTTGCCACTGGCGAGGCACTTCTCTATCAGACTGGAAACCCGCTCTTTGGCTTTCCCGAAACTCTCAAGGGCAAAGCCAAATGCAAGAAGGGGAAAATGGAAAAGTTCTCTGAGAACGTACATCCAAAGTCCTTACTGGAAGCACTGATGAGCCAGGATCAGTCTGTTTACGTCTGTCAACCAGATTCAGAGGCTCACGAGTCCCACCCTTGCGGTACTTTTACCAAACAGCAAGAGGAGACTGCTGGATTTGGCGAGAGCTGGCAGATGCAGCCAAGATGCAACAGGGAAAAGTCCAAGTGTGATCCACTACAAGCCACCCTGGACTCTCTTTCTCTGGATGGAGATGAAAGTTGCTCCAACAGCGAGCTCCTCTGTGCCTTGGAGAACCTTGGCTTGAATGCTGAAGACCTGGAACTTTTGCTGCTGGATGAGAAGATGATCCAGGTAGAGATGGATTCCGGCCATGGCTCCACATTTGGTGAGCTCACCAACAATGAAATCACGTCCCACATTCATGAGTCATCGGAGATGGAATCTCATGGAGAAGAACACAGCGACATAGTTGGATTTGGACTCAATGACTTTTTTCCAGACACTGCTCCAAGTTCTACCCAGCAGATACAAGCACACCGTGTGCCCGCTACCCCTGCCATTCCGTCCGGTAGCGGGCAAACGCAGCCGCTGCCCATCGGGGCAGGCGGGCTTCGGTTTCCCTCTGGAAGTGTCGATGCCAGCATCCTCTCTGGTAAGAGCCGCTGGATGCTCAAGGCTGAGGAAGCCCAGCATTGTGACAACCACACTACTCACCAAACTCTTGTCAACGAGGAGAACCAAGATGTTATCTCACCACTGGAGCCAAGTCACCACTGGCAGCAGGGAAACAGCCAGACTTTCTTACCCAGCTCCCAGATGTTGGGCGGAACCTGTTGCTCCAGTAAACACGCAGCTTTTTTTCATAATGTATTGGTTGACCCTGTAGTCTCAACCACAAAGCATGCGGACAGCTCAGAACTGAATACCACAGATTTTTGTCATGACGAACACTTGGTGGACGCTGTGCAGCCACACTCACTGCAGGGTCAGCAATCTCACAAGCTCCAGAGTCCAGTTCCGCACCCGGTTGTGACCCAATGTGCTCCACAGGGTGCTGCTCTGGAGCTGGAGCAAATTTTGGCTCTGATGCAGCCTTCGCTCGAGGCCTGTAGTCTGTTCCACGATGCCAGCGCAAGACAGGATGACCACAATCAGGTGAGACTTCAACAAATCTTCTTTAGCGGTCATCATGCATGACCAGTAAAGTTATTTTCAGCTTCATTGAAAGGAATACCCATCCTTACAATTGCACATTTTTATACAAACTGGTCAGAGATTTTGTCCTGCTTTAGGTCAACTAATGTTCAGGTCTAGGTTATTTATATGGCATTGATTAAGTCTTCTGGATGTTGTGTTTTTATAAAAATTGTGTCTTTCCTCAGAATTTGTTATTTTGCCAGATATAATGATTTTGCAGTTGGATCGTATTGACCTCTGATATTTGGATGTAAGCAGTATCAGAAACAAACGGGAATTGTAAAAAAATTGAGTGCAACATTAGTCTCAACGTCCATCCAATCCATCACTATAATTTCTGAATTATAATAAACTTTCACTTCCAGTAAGATGGGGAGCACATACGTTAAGTGGTGCGCAGGTGCGCATGCTTTATGAAAATATGAAAAGTTGCACCCAGGGGCAGCGAAGCAATAGTACTGTTGTGTTGTTTGCAGGCAACTCATTTCAATGCGATTTTTTTTCTTCTTTTTTTTTTTTTTTTTGTTTTGCGACAGCATACTGAATTTAATCATTTCACTCTAACATAACAACAAACACCGGAGCTCTGTTTTTATTCGCTTTTGCCTTCGTCTTTAAGGTCAGGATGGTGAGGTTGTTGGATTTAGGGAACAAATGAGCAACAAGAAACGACTTCAGGTGCTTCTTTGTGAACTCGACCAAAATGATGAGCACCCCTGTCTAACAATCTTTGAAGCTCACTTTCTGTTGTTGCGAGAGGTTTCATGGGTGTGGCCATCTTGGAAATGGGGGTTGGCACAGTGTTGCACTGAAGAGTCTGTGAAAGGGCGACAAAGACTGCTTTGTTAAACCTCAACTTTGTTTTAGATCAGTATTGATGTGAAAGATAGATCTTTTCTCGCTCCGTTTCGTCTCTTAACATAAAAAAAGACGATGGAGTTGGTGTATTCTTTTTGGCTCAAGTGGAAAGACTTGACAATGCCTGAAGTGTTTCATGTCAACCGAAGTAGTGACCATCAACGCTTGAGCATTGCACTGAGTTCTTTTGCTGTCAAAGAAAGTCAGCACATAGAAGCTTCAGGCATGAAGCTCTGTGTTAACTGTGATGTGATGATGTGTCCAGAAATGCAATGTAAAGAAGAAAAGGCCCATCTTTCAGTGCTGTCTTTCTCATGCACATACATAAATCTTTTAGAAAGTCATGAGCTGCCCGATAGCACCGTACGATGGATAGAAGTGTTTAAGCATGAAAAACAATGCTGCCGCGCACTGAAGAAGAGAGAAGGGAAAAGATTGTGTACAATAATCAAGAGAATAAGGGACACCGTTGGCCTCAAAGGTGGCTGACCCAGCAGACATCCATTCACAGGGCTCTGGTGTTATTTTTCAGGGTCAGTGACAATCACACTGCTGACCTACTATTTGTCTGTCATTAGTTCCCTCACGATGAGGCAAGAAATCTGGGTGGTTGTTATGAATGATTCACGTTCTCAGCACTGACTTTGTAATATGAGTTGTGGTGTGGATTGGATCAGACAGTGCATACATGGGATTAAGGTGAGAATGACTGCACGTAGCAAATAAATACTGATCTCGGAAATACATGTCTTAAATAGGAGAAAGTCCGATATGATCCTTGTGCATTCACGGCCACACATTTTGCCAGCATTTTTTCCAAGATTTACAGAATCTTATTTTGTGACAATATAAGGACCAAAGCAACCAAAATAAAAAGTAGACTTGTTTCTCCAGAAAAATAATGTTTTATTTTGTTGTTTTTTTTTTTTTTTTTATAGTTTTCCATTCTTTAGTAATCGGCATTGGTACATGGTGCCACCAAAAACAGTTTCTGACCAAGCGCTATATAAATCAGCATGTATTGTCTTGTGTTGTATTGTATAAAAATCTATCATTATAAATGTCAAGCAGAACTGTGACTTTGACGCTAGTCTACAGTATTTAGTTCTTGTGACACCACAAACCATAACATTTCAAAACCAAGACTAACAAACAACTGGCTTTTGAAGGTAAAATAATTTTTTTTACAGATATACAGCTATGAAGTGTGCCAAATTGAATGCCATGTGGCTATTTATTTATTTTGTGTTTTGCTCAAAGTTCACCATTCATGCAATGGACTGTGTCATCATTTCACACGATCGCAACACAGACATTATAATACCTACTTTGTGCATATCTGTTCGAGCGTGAGGTGCCTAAACTGGTCCGACTTCCAGCGTGTTGGCATTTCTCTTCCTTTTTCATAACTGATGCAACAAAGACACACTCACGCCTCATCTTTATCTCGTACTAGTCATTACAGTGGTTTACAAACCTGAATTTCACAGAAAAACTGGGCAAGACAGTTTTCCACACATGCCCGTTGGATGGGAAATGTAAATATCCACAGCAATGAATGAGTTCTTGTCGGGTGCATTTTTTTTGTTTTCATCGTGAAACTGTTTTGTATTGCTCTTTAAACGCAGAGACATTTGACTGATGCTGTATTCTGGAGTCATTGTCGTCTCAATGTGACTACTTTCTTGCGGTTTTCAGCTGGAGAACGGTTGTCTCCTCAAGGCCTCCAATGCCACCTTCATCCGGACCTGTCTTATGTCCAACGGGGACAGAGAGGTGGCAGCCAACTTTCCAAACTCGTGCCCTGATGGTCTCACAGATGCTCAGAAGTCAGAATTTATACTCTGACAAGAAGGTACCGAATATAAAAAAAAAACAAAAAACAAAAGACAGCGAGAGACTCCACAAAACGTAAACAAAGCATTTAGCACCATTTCTCACTGCTCACCAACCAGTGAAAATGTATGTGACACCATGTTGTAATATTTCTGCGCACACAGAATCCAAGTCTGGTTTTCAGAAGCAGGTTGGATCTGTGTGCACCCACGATGCTGTACATACACTCTTTCTTGAAGAAGTGACAGCAAACGTAATCATTAGGTTTCTGGTTCATTTCACGTGGACGAACTTTCTGCTCAACTTTCATTGACATCATTTCACATGGTTGCTATTCCTACTACTAAGCATATTGCCACAACACTAAATATAAAACCAAAAACGGGCCCAGTATTCTGAAATGACATGAAATGTGTTCTGTAAAAAAGGTATTGTTGCACTAAGACTGATCTTTCTTAGGGTGGCAGCAATATGTTTCCTTAAAGACACGCCAGCACGTCGCCACTATGTCAAGGTACGGCTGGCGCATCACATTGTTTTTTGACATTTGTTTCTTTTTCCTTTCCCTGCTGCTGCCAAGGAGCCCAACACATGGCAGCATCCCAACATTAATTGTCACGTGCATTTTTGCCTCAGAGGACTGCAACCGTGTTGTGCACTTCATTAAATGTCCCGCATGTTCCCGACATAAACAGGGCAGCTCGGTTATGTCACAAGAAAAGCATTTTCATTTTCCCGGGTAGAGACATTATTGCCTTGTTGTTACTGATTAACACTGAATGCAGGTGGTGAAATATGTACAGATAGATATGCTTCCATAAAAGAGACAAAGTCGGGGCTCCTATTTGTGGTTCTCTTGACTCAGAGGGATGACATTCCCCATGGCGAGCTATTTTTGTTCTTTAGACCTGCTAACCAGAACATGCACCGAACAAAAATATAAACGCAACACTTTAGTTCTCGCTCACATTTTTATGATCTGAAGTCAACGATCTAAGCCTTTCCTATGTACACAAACGGCCAGTTTCCCCTCGAATATTGTTCACAACTGTGTCGAAATCTGTCTTTTGCCGAAATAATCTAATCCCCCTCACAAGCGTGTCATATCAAACGCATATTAGACAGCATGAATACTGCACCGCTGTGCCTCACATTGCTCCTAGTAAACGGGCAACCAAAAAGTGCACTTTTACTGTATTGGGGGAGTCCATTGTCAGCGGGGTGGAGGGTTCTCAGAGAAGCAGTCAAGAGCTGGTGTTACCACTCTTTGCCTCAGGCAGTGCAATGCCTCTCCTTCACATTGAGTTGATGAGATTGTTAATTGCCATCTATGGAATGTTGGCCAACACCTGTTCAATGGCTGTGAGAAGTTGCTGGACACTGGCAAGAAGTGGACCACGCTGCCGTATGCGCCCATGCAGAGCATCCCAAAACTGCTCCATGAGTACGCTGGCCATTTAAGAACTGGGAAGCTGTCGGCTTTCAGGAAGTGTATATAGCTTCGTGCAGCATGAAGTGATGGCCATGATTGAATGGTGCAACTGAGA